CAGGATCCAGTTATATGCTTGTCTACAAGAAACTCACTTCAAATGTAACAATATAGAAAGGTTGAAAGTGAAAGAATGAAAAATTATATACCATGCAAACATTAATCAGAGGAAAGGAGGAGGACTACATTATCAGATAAAGTAGACATCAGAGAAAAGAAAATTATCAGATACAGGGAGGGATATTAATGATAACAGGTCAATCCACCAAGAATATATAGCAATCCTAAATGTGTATGCACCAAACAACATAACTGCAAAATATGTGAATCAAGTTAATAAAAGTGAAAGGAGAAAAAGACAAACCTAAAATTATAGCTGAAAACTTCAACCCTCTTCTTTCAGCAAGAGATAGAACAGCTAGACATGAGATCAGCAAACATATAGAGAAACTCAGCAAAAGTACAAAACTACAACTCACCCAATTTGAAGTAACTATTTAAAAAGTTTAATGTGTAACTTTAAAGCTCCTGAAAAGTAACTTCCAGGCCCTGATGATTTCACTGGGGAATCCTACCAAATGTTTAAAGATTAATTAACTCCAATTCTACATAATCTCTTCCAGAAAAAAATATAAGGAGAGGACATTTACCAGTTCGTTTTATGAAGCTACTATTTCCCTGAAACGAAACTCAGACAAAGATTAAAAAAAAAAAAAAAGCTTTAAACTCATATTCTTCATGAATTCAGATATGGAAAAGAAAAAAAAAACCTTAACAAAATACAGCACATAGAATTAAGGAACATGTAAACACAATTATATACCATGTGATTGGGTTTCTTCCAGGGATGTAAGGCTAGTTCAGTATTTTAAAAAATGTAAATCTATCATACTGACAGGCTAGAGAGAGAAAAAAAATCACATGATCATACCAATAGATGCAGATAAAGTACTTGAGAAAATTCAACATCCACCCATGATACAAACTCTCAGAAAACTAGGAAGAGGGGGGAACTTCAACTTGATATAGCGCAACCACAAAAGCTTACAGCTAAAAAAAAAAAAAAAAAGCCTACAGCTAACACACAATGGTGAAGACTGAATGCTTCTTTTTAAAACTGAGAGCAATGCAAGAATGTCCACTCTTATCCCTACTATTCAACATAGTACCGACAGTTGTAGCCAGTGCAATAAGGCAGGAAAAGCAACTAGAAGGCATATAGATCAGAGAGTAAGAAATAACACTACCATTTGCAGATGTCATGATTGTCTATGCACCAAATCTCAAGGAATCTACAAAAACACTCATAGAACTAATGAGTGAATTCAACAGGGTCACAAGATACAAGATAAATACACAAAAGCAACATATTATCAATGGACGTGTGAAAACCAAAATTAAAAAAAAAAAAAGAAATACTTAGTGTAAGTCTAACAAAACATGTGCAGGACTTGTGTGCCAAAGAGTAAAAAATGCTGACGAAAGAAATGAAAAACCAAATGGAGAGACGTACCTTGTTCATGGTAGTAAAGATGTCATCTCCAAATTGATAGACGACTTCAACACAATTCCTATCAAAATCCCAGTAAGACTTTGTAGAGGTAGGTTAAGACTATTCTAAAATTTATATGGGAAGACAAAGGAACAAAATCAGCTGAAATAATTTTGAAAAAGAAAAATAAAGTAGGAAGAGTTAGTCTACCTAATTTCAAGATTTATTATATAGCTGCAGGAAATCAAGAGTGTATGATATTGATGGTGAGATGGACAAAAAGACCAATGGAACAGAACAGAGAACTCTAAAACAGATTCACACAAGCACAAGCAACTGATTTTGGACCAAAATGCAAAACTATTCAATGGTGGAAGAACGGGTGTTTTCAACAAATGCTGCTGGCTGGATATGCATGGGCAAAAGAAAGAAAGGGAGGGAGGGAGGGAGGAAGGGAAAGAAAAGAACCACTTAAGCTAGACTTCACACCTTATACAGAAATCAACTCTAAATGGACTGTAGATTGAAATGTACAACACAAAACTATAAAACTTTTAGAACAGAACACAAGAGAAAACCTTCAGGAACTAGAGCTAGGCAAAGAGTGCTTGACACTAAAAGCACAACCCATAAAAAACCAAAATTCGTAAACTGGACTTCATCAAACTTAAAAACTTTTGCTCTGCAAAAGATCCTTTTAAGAAGATGAAAAGACAAGCTACAGACAGGAGAAAACATCTGCAAACCATATATCCAACAAAGGACTAGAATGCGTAAGAAATTCTCAAAACAAAACATTTAAAAAGAAAAAGCAAACTATCTAATTACATAATGGCCAAAAGATATGAATAGGCATTTCACTGAAGAGGATAAACAGATGGCAAATGAACACATGAAAAGACATTCAATTATCACTAGCCATCAGGGAAATGCAAATTAAAACCACGAGACATCACTACACATCTACTAGAATGGCTAAAATTAAAAAAAAAGAAAAAGTAACCACCAAATGGTGGCAAGGATATGGAGAAACTGGGTCACAAATACATTATTGGTGGTACTGCAAAATGGTACAGTCACTCTGTAAAACAGTTTGTCTATTTCTGAAAAAAACTAAACATGTATCCACCGTATGACCCAGTGATTACACTCTGGGGCATTTACCCTAGAGAAATGAAAACTTATGTTCACATCAGAACCTGTATATAAATGTTTATAACATCTTAATAGCCAAAGAACGGAAATAACCCAGATGTCCTTCCATGGGTAAAGGGTTAAATCAACTGTAGTACATTCATAGCCTGGAGGCATAAAAAAGAAACAAACTACTGATACAGGCAACAACCTGCCTGTATTTTCAGAGAATTACGCTTAGTGAAAAAAGCCAATCCCAAAAGGTTATATACTGTATGATTCTTCTTATGCATCATTCTTGATATCTGAAAATCATAGAAATGGAAAACAGATTAGCAGTTGCCAGGAGTGAGGAGTTGGATGGAAGTGAGTGTGGCCACAAAAGGCAACAGGAGGGACCCTTGAGGTGATGGAAATGTTCTGTATCTTGACTGTTATCAATGTCGATATCTGCTTGTGATGTAGTACTTCGGTTTATGCAAAATGTTATCATTTGAGGAAACTGGGTAAAGGAACACTGGGATCTCTTTGTACCATTTGTTACAACTGCACATAATAGATGTGAATGTACAATTTCTCAAAACTATACAATTCTCAAAATAAATTTCTCAATAACTGTACAATTATCCCAAAATAAAACCAGCTAAAAATTTGAAAGGAGATGGCACAGTACTTTTTTCAAGTGGGCAGTAAGGAGATCGATTAAAAGCAGATCTGATATACATATACATATATGTAAGATATACATATAATAAACAGTAAATATTTGGTATTTAATAAACTGCATTCAAACTTAAATAAAATCAACAAAATTTATATATTTCTGAAATTAAAATAAGTTTTAAAAACTAACTGAATTTTGGTGATGGTTGCATACTGTGAATATGCTACAAACCACTGAACTGTATACTTTAAAAGAGTGAATTGTATGATACATTAATTGTATCTCAATAAAGCTGGTAAGGGAAAAAAGTACTCGAAATGTAAGTGCTCTCAAAAAAATAATCAGGGTACTCTGATCTTTCTCCGATTTTCCAAGATCTAGTCCTTAGCTAACATGCAAAGCTAGAACAGTATTACATATTATCACACAGTGCAGATCTTAAACACACACACACACACACACAACCTGTGGTTTGACTGTTGCATCTCTTGCCACAGTACAAACAAGGCTTCATCCCAGGCCACTCTTCCTAAAGCTGCTCAGAGCAGTGTATATGGAAGTGGGCCTCGAGTCCCTGCTTCCAAGCACAGGACTACAGAACAAGACAGAGAAACCCGAAGACAGAGCTCACATCTCAGGTGTGAGTCATCTGGGAGAAGGGCAGACAGCAGGTTCTTCTTTACTCAGTCTCGCCATCAGTTTTTCTACACAACTTACACTTACGTCAGGTAGCTTTGTTAAAGGCAAAAGGTGTTCCTCGAGGAAATGCACTTCATTCTCAACCTGGGCTGTCAAACTCCTGGAAGGAGTATGGTGGAATACTGAGTACAATAGGTTACTGACATGTAATCTACTCATCAAGGGTGTCACCTCAAAAAGTGCAGAGAGGATGGGTACGGTAGGTACTGAGTACAGAGGGATACTGAGTCTTTGGGTACTGAGTACGGTAGGGTGCTGCAGCGTAATCCACCCACCAAGGGCGTCACCCCAAGGAGCACAGAGAAAATGGGTATGGTGGGGTGCTGAGTACAGTGGGTACTGCGGTGTAATCTGCTCAGCAAGGGCTCACCCCAAGAGTGCAGGGAGGAGGATAAGGTGGGGTTCTGAGTACTGAGTACGGTGTGGTACTGCGGGGTAATCTGCCCCTCAAGGACGTCAACCTAAGGAACACAGGGGAGGTTAATACGACGGGGTACTGAAGACAGGCGAGTAATCCTTTCCTCAAGGGTTCACCCCAGGAGCATAGGGACAGCCCGGACAGAAGCCGACCCGCGTTGTCCGTGCTCTGGGAAGGGAGCGCTGCACACAACCCTCAGCCACTTTGCCAGGGGGCACGCCACCCTTCCATCCGTCCGGGCAAGCAGAGGACACCGCCTGGCGACTCCCACGTGATACCTCCTCGACCTTGGGGGTCACCCCAGTGGCGGCGCCCGTTCCCTCACATCCGCCGCGCGGCCCGCCCCGCGCCCGCTACAGCCAATGGTGCGCCCCTCCGCAACCCGCGCGACCTCCGCGCGCGTCCGCAGCCGCCAATCTCCGCCCGCCAGGCGGCGCTGGCCGCACCATTGGCTGCCACGCCCGTCTGTCAGACCCCGTCCCACCCACCTCCCCCCGTCAGCCCTGCTCCATCCAGCTTCACTCCCTGTCACCACGGCGCTGGCGACAACGAGGGCGCGGCAGCCTTGCCCCCTGCCGCGACCCCCGCCTCCTGCCCGATCGGCTTAGAGCCTCCTAAACCCGGCCAGGCCCGGCGGCAGCTCGCGCCTACCTGTCTCCGGCTCAGCTCCACCCGAATGAGGCGCCGACACCCCACTCCGGGGCACCAAACTCTCGGCCCCGCCCCGGCGTGTGGCGTCAGCACGCCGCCCCGCCCTGGGAGGAGAGGGACCGCCCCAGCCTCGTGAGCGGAGAGCATGACGTCACAGAGTCGCGCCAGCGTCGCCCTTGGCGCGCCCTTCGGACAGAGTTGGCGGCCTCTAGGCTGCGGCGGAGCGATTTACCTTGGCGCGTCCAGACCTGCTTTCCTGCAGGGTTTGAAAAGGGTGCTGCGCATTACCTACTAGTGTCTCCTGCAGTGCGCTGTCAGGACCCCGCTGGTGGATTGCTGAGTTGACCTGGTCTGTGCCCACAGACAAAGGAACCTTGGTCAGCAGTGCGTGCTTGGAACGCCGCCGGCATTGGGCGGGCAGAGTGAGAACCTGGAGGTCCTGGCTGACAACAAGGGTTTCCCAAAGTGGAGAAGATCGCTGTGGAACACAGGGTCCTTCACTTGGTGCATGGACAGTGTATCGTGCCATTTCTTCAAATGCAGGTGGTCATCTGCTTTAAGACGTCATTTTACTTACTGCTAAGAGCGCAGTTACTAGTCTCGATCGTAAGATGCAGCCGTATTTCAAAATGTGAAAAAAAAAACAAAAACAAACCCACCTCAGAACTGATGAAATACGGTAAACTGTAGTCAATCATATCCTGAGAAAGGCCTTGCAGTTCTTTAATCTTCACTACAGCAAGGAGAAAGCTTCATTTCATGCTGATGTGTCCTTAACTCCTCTTTTTCTTCTTTCCCTTTTTGATAGAGATCAAACCTTAGGCTCAAAACCTGGTGAGCAATAATATAGATAAATCGTAAACTGCTTTGTCTTTCCGATTTTTGACAGTTCATCTTTGATATTTATGGCAAGTGATACTGGTTTTCCGACTTACAGTAATGAAAAAATTTTCTTTTGTAGTAACATTGTCCATTTAAAGACTACATTAACCAGGTATTAGTATGGAAAGGTAGCATCCAGAAGACTGACATCAGGGAAACGCTGTTCCACACTGTCTTCTGTGTGTTTTTTGCCAAGAACTTGGAGACAAGGGCTGTGTCAGGTGGCATAGCAGAGGATACTGGGGTGACAAAGGGCAGCAATCTGATCACAGAGATCTGATCATGAAAGTTCCAAAGAGGACACAAGTGTCTGAATCTGGGCCTGAAATTCAGACTGAGGATTTTGCCACCTGTTCACAGCTGTGATTCAGACTTAGAGCAATTTCTAAATTTCTAAAGTTTAGAAAAAGGCAAAGTAGGAGGCTTTTTTTTTCTTTGTTGTTTTTTAAGTAGGAAATATAAGTGTTTTTAAGAACAAAGTTGGGCTGATAATGTGGGATAAGGATCTGGAGACGGCTAAGAAATGAAGGAACCAAGGCACAAACAGTATTTTTTTCTTTCTTTTTTTTTATTGTGGTAAAAAGTATATAAGAAAAAAGTGGTCATTTTCACCATTTTAAAGGACAATTTTGTGGCATTAATCACATTCACAATGTTGTGTAACCATAACCACTATCTTACCAGTCCAAACAAAAACTCTAGCCGTCCCATTTCCCTCCTCTCTTCCTTCTCCCTTAGTAACCTCTATTATACTTTGCCTCTGTAAGTTTGATTATTCTAGCTACCTCATATAAGTGAAACCATACAGTATTTATCTGTCCTTTTATGCCTCACTTATTTCACTTAGCATAATGTTTTCAAAGTTCATACATGTTGTAGCATGTGTCAGAATTTCCTTCCTTTTCGTGGCTGAATGTTTGGTATGGATGTACTGCATCTTGCCTATTCATTTAGGATGTTAAGTTGTTTCCTGCTTTTAGCTTTTGTAACTAGTGCTACTGTTACCAAACCAAACTTGGGTCCACTCGCCCAACACACAGCAAAATCAATCCACTGACACCGGATTGTGGTGAAAGAAAGTACAGCATTTATTGCAAGGTCAAGCAAGGAGAATGGGCAGCTCATGCTCAAAAGACTGGAACTCCCCATGGCTTTCAGGGAAGGGTTTTTAAAGGCAACATTAGGGGTGAGGGTTGCAGGGTGCCTGATCACCTTGTGGACATTCTTCTGATTGGTTGGTGGTGAGGCAACTGGGTGGTATTTCGGGAATCAACAACATCAGCCTTCTCCTTCCAACTACTCTAGGGTCTATGTGCTTGTGGTCAGCATGCAGTTAACTTCTTCCACCTAGTGGAGGTTTTACTGTCTATAAAACAACTCAAGGATGTTGTTCAGAATATTATCTATAGCCCTTGAGGAGGAACTAAAGGTCCTTAACTTTGTTTTATGACTAAACTATTATTATTTTGTCTTGCTTGATTGTTTTCCTTTGTTTCAGCATTTTCTCACTTGTTTGATTACATTTGCTCTTTGGAACCTGAGGAAGGCCTAGGAGGCTAAAGTTTTTTTTTTTTTTTTTTTTTACAGATAAGAGGCAGGGGACACTGGGATTTGTCCCTAGGAAGGTCCCACAGGGTCCTGCTTGGTTTCACTATAGTGACCATTGGCTTACAAGTATCTGTTGAGTAGTAGTTTACAATTTGTGTATTTCCTAGGAGTGGAAGTGGTGGGTCATACGGTAATTCTATGTCTAGCTTTCTGAGGAAGTGCTAAACTGTTTTCTACTGTGGCCACACCATTTTACATTCCTGCCAGCAATGCCCAAGTGTTTCAATTTCTCCACATCCTCTTCAGTACTTCTTTTCTTTTTAAAATTTTATTATCATCATCTTAGTGTGTGTGACGTGATCTCGTTGTCTTGATTTGCATTTCCCTAATGACTAATGATGTCAAGCATATTTTCATGTGCTTATTGGCCATTTGTATATCTTTGGAAAAAAGTCTATTCAAGCCCTTTGCCCTTTTTTGAATTAGGTTTTTTTTTTTTTGTCTCACTGTTGAGTTGGAGGAGTTCTTTCTATATTAATCCTTTATCAGATATATGATTTGCAGATATTTTCTCCCATTCCATAGGATTTTTTTTCACTTTCTTTATAATGTTCTTTAATGAACAAAAGTTTAAAATTTTGAAGTCCATTTTATCCATGTTTGTTGTTATTGTTGCTTAGTGTGTTGCTGTCTGTCATAGCCAAGAATCCATTGCTAAATCTAAGCTCATGAAGATTTACCTTTATGTTTCTAAGAGTTTTATGGTTTTAGCTTTTATATGTAGGTTGTTTATCGATTTTGAGTCCATTTTTGTATATGATGTGCAGTTGGAGTCCAACTTCATTTTTTTTGCATGTGGAACACCAGTTGTCCCTGTACTATCTGTTGAAGAAATGATTCTTTCCCCACTGAATGGATTTAACACTCTTTTTGAAAATCAGTGGGCCAGATACATTGGGGTTATTTCTGTATTCTCAATTCTATTCCATTGGTCTATATGCTATCTTTATGCCAGTACCACCCTGTTTTGATTACTCTAACTTTGTGGTAAGTTTTAAAATCTAGAAGTGTGATTTCTCCAACTTTGTTCTTTTTCAAGATTGTTTTGGCTATTCAAGACCCCTTGCAGCTCCATATAAATTTAAGGATTGACTTTTCCACTCCTGCAAAAATGGCTGTTGGAATTTTGATAGGGATTGTATTTAATCTCTTTGGGTAATATTGACATTGAAGCTAAGGGTAACTATCAGTTAGATCCATTAAACTTGTAACCTGCCTTCACTGACCAAGCTTGCTTTAATTGTTGCTACAAAAAGAAAAAAACAACTGCATGTCCTCCAAGCATCACATAGTCTAAATAATAAGATGTTTGTCCAAATTGTTTTTCAGGAACTTGGAGTCAGCTATGTTCAGTTTGAGCTCGAGCCAGTTAAGACTGGCCAAGGCCACCAAGTGAGTATATATTTAATGACTTTTTGACATCAGAGGGCCAAAAATTCCACCCTCAGAACATGCTAACAGTACCATTTTTTGCACATGTGTCCCATGAAGAAGCTTAGTTGTACTTCTGCAGAAAAATGATTTGTCCCACTTTCTTCTCATTTCCAACTACCTTTCTCTGTGCTCTCCATGCCTCAACTTTATCCCATAAGTATCTTGAGCCCCTCACCTTCAGAGAGGTGGATTTGAGATTTATTCCCCCATCTCCTCACTTGGCTGTCTTGTGAATAAACCCTTATTCTGCTGCAAACCTCCAGGTCTCAGCGTTTGCCTTGCTGTGTATTGAGCAAACAAACCTAGTTCAGTTCGGTAACAACATCTTAGCAATAGCAAGTCTTCCAGTCCATGAACATGGGATGTCTTTCTATTTATTTGTGTCTTCTTTAATTTCTTTCAGCAATGTTTTCAGTTTTCAGTGTACAAGTCTTTTACGTTGATTAAATTATTCTTAATTTTTTGGATGAATTTGTAAGTAGAATTGCTCTCTTCATTTCTTTTACTGATTGTTCATTACTGGTGTATTGATTTGTGTGTATTGATATTGTGCCCTGGAACTTCACTGAATTCATTTATTAGCTCCAGTAGCTTTCTTTTGGATTCTTTGGGATTTTTTCCATATCTAGGACTGTGTCATCTGTAAATAGAGATAGTGTTTCTTCCTTTCCAGTTTAGATGCTTTCTGTTCCTTTTTCTAGAATATCCAGTACAATCTTGAATAGCCATGGTGAAAGTAGACATCCTTATCTTATTCCTGATCTTAGGAATAAAAGAGCTCTCAGTCTTTCATCATTACGTATGATGTGAGATTTTCACAGATGTCCTTTATCATGTTGAGGAAGTTCCTTTCTATTTCTAGGTTTTGTTTTTTTTTTTTGGTGGAGGGACTCTTAATCTTCTATTTTATTTTCTTTAAATACAAGTCACTCTCCACTGAAATGATTTCATGACCCACAAATGGGACAAAACTGTCTGAAAAACACTGTGCTAAGTAAGGGCTTCTTCTTTCACACAAAAAGCCTGCTTACTGGTTGGAAACAGTGACCCAGAGCATCTTCCAATTGCTGGATCTACCCATGTTTCCCACGTATCTGCAGGGGCTTCAGAGAGCCTTGTGATGCTTTCTGATTAGGCATTGGGCTTCAAGGCTCCCTTCCCACCATTTCAGCCCTTAGGACTATCCTCCTCATCCTGACCTGTCCCACAGCACTTCTCAAGATGAAGTCAAGGAGCACACACTTCCTTCGGCAAGTTTGGAGAGGCCACTGTTCCCTTGTGTCTAGGGGAAGGAGTCAGTCTTGGTTTCTTCGGTTTCTTGGCTTGAGGCAGAAATGCAGGCTGGTGTTTGAGGGCCATGCTGTGAGAAAAGCCAAGGATCCGCCCAAGAAGAGATGCACGTCGAAGGAGCTGGGAGAACTCTGTTCCTAGTTTTGAGTGTTTTTTTGGTGATGAAACAGTGTTGGATTTTGCTCGGTGCCTTTTCTGCATCAACTGAGGTAATCATGTGTTTTCCCCTTCATTCTATCAATATGATATATTACATTGATTGATTTTCTTGTGTTGACCCACGCTTGCATTAATGGGATAAATCCCATTTGATCATGATGTATAATCGTCTTAATATGCTTTTGGATTTGGTTTGCTAGTATTTAGTTGAGGATTTTTGCCTCAGTTTTAATAAGGGATGTTGGACTGATTTTCTTTTCTTGTGATATCTTTGCCTGGCTTTAGTATCAGTATAATGCTGGCCTCATAGAATGAGTTAGAAGTGTTCCCTTCCCTTCAATGTGTTGGAAGAGTTTAAGTAGGAATGCTGTTCATTCTTCTTTAAATGTTTGGTAGAATTCACCAGGTAAGTCCATTCTTGGACTCTTCCTTATTGTGTCACTTTAGGTAATTTGTGTGTTTCTAGAAATTTGTCCATTTCATTTAATTTTTCTCATTTGTTGGTGTGCAACTGCTCAGAGTATTCTCTTCTTTTTATTTCTGTTAGGTTAGTAGTAATGTCTCTAATATCTGATTTTTAGTGATTTATGTCTTCTTTTTTTGTCAGTCTAGCTAAAGTTTTCTTAATTTTGTCGATCTTTTCAAATAATCAACTTTTAATTTCCATTGACTCTACTGTTTTTCTGTGCTCTGTTTTATTTCTCTCCACTTTAATCTGTATTTCCTTCCTTCTGCTACCTTTGGGTATAGTTTGCTCTCTCTCTTTTTTCCTTTTTTTAGTTCCTCAAAGGGTCAATTTAGGTTATTGATTTGATCTTTCTTTCTTTTTAATGCAGACTTTTACAACTATAAATTTCCCTCTGAGGACTACCTTCACTGCACCCGATGGCTTTTGCTTGTATGCTTTTTCATCGACATATACATTCCTCATTCATTTAACAAATATTTATGCCAGTTTGGTTCTGGGTGCTGGGGATACAGAAATGAACACAACAGACAGGCAGGATCTGTACTGTCACGGTGCTGACATTTTAGGCTAAACCAAAAAGATACAACTGATGATTTGAAATCCATAAAACAAGGTGCTATGATAAAGAATGGTGGTGGGGTTGAGGAGGGTATAGCTTAGCGCATGAGGTCCTGGGTTCACTCGCAGTACCTCCATTAAAATAAACAAATAAATAAACCCAATTACCTCCGTCCCACAAATTTTTTTTAAAAACCAGGTCAAGAATGGCGGTAGCACTGCTTTTGTTTTCAAAATGTATTTTATTAAATAGGTAACATATTCTCATGGTTCAGAAATCAAAGATATTGATAGATCTAGTTTGCAAAGTCTCTTTTGCACCCCTGTTAACATCTGCCTCATTATCTGCTAGTCTGCTGACCCCTTCCCTGCAAGGGGTAACTCTTTATTTGTTGAATCATGGAGCAATCACATATTCCAGGGTGAGAACAGAGGTGGAGGGAATTCAGGGGCTTGGAGAGGGACCATTTACCAACTAGGACAGAAGTATTTTTGTATTTTAACCAGCACAACCAAACTGGTGTATATTGGCTGAATATTCATGCTACCTATAAGTAACCACTTATAATCTTATATATTCTTCCAGCATTTTTCATGTAAATACAAATTCCAAAGATAGCTTACTATGTACTCTCTTCTGCATCTTGCTTTTTTTAACATAGCAGTATATCCCGGAAATCTTTCTGTATCAGCTCATAAAGCATGTCATAATTTTTTTTTCCAGTTACATAATTGCATAGAATGGTTTTGGTGGGGGTAGCTCATCTTTGTTCCATGTTGGTATTGACTAGGGCAGTTCCTCTGGGACTGAAGGATCCAAAATGGCTTCATCCTGTTAACTCATGGCTCAGTCTGCTGGGCTGGACCTTGTATCAGCTGGGTTCCAAGAGAGTGAAAATGGAAGCCATCAGGCCTCTTAAGCCCCAGGCGCCAGAGCCATACAGTTTTCTTCCACTGCGTTGAATTGGTCAGCGCAAGTCACAGGTCCAGAATGAGATTCCAGTGGAGGGGAAATGGATTCCACCCCGAGTGGGAAGAGCAGCATGTGGATACGGGGATGGGAGGGATTGCTGGCACTGGGTCCAGTCAGGGTTCACATGTCTTATTTGGTATTACGCATCTTTAGTTTCTTAAAATCCCCCATTTCGCCCACTATTTTTTTTTTCCTTTTCTTGACTTTAGTTTTTGAAAGATTGAAGCCAATTGTTTCACATTCTGGATTTGCCTTATTATTTCCTGACGATGGCTTCAAACTTCTGAATTTTCTGTAAACTGCAAGATGTACGAAAGACCTGATTTAAATTAAACCTTACAAAAATATTTTTTACCCGTTGATTACCCTTATGTTTTACAATGATTATCTTTTGCCTGAACAGAATCCTTTAAAAGTCTAAGTCCGATTAAGTCATTTGTCACTCAAAAATCCCCTAAGGGGTTCTCATTTATTTGCGGAAGTCCTTAAAATGCTCTAAAAGCCCTACCAAATCCTCCCACTCCCATCTATGACCTCATTTCCTCCTACTGTCCCCCTCCGTCTCTTCTTCTGCCACGCTGGCCTCTTTGCCCTTCCTCAACTCACCACACATCAGCCTTGGGGCTCTCACTGTTTCCTCGGGTATGCCATGTGACCTGCCCTTTAAGGGCCTCTCTCACTTGATACCTTCTTGGTGAGCCTTCCTTGGCCACTCTATTGTACCCCATCCCACATCTGACCAAGGCACGCCCTATATTAGTTTCCTCCGGCTGCCAGAACCAATTACCACAAACGTGGTGGATGAAAGTAAGAGAAACGTATTGTATCACAATTAGAGAGTGCAGAATTCTGAAATCAAGGTGTCGGCTGGGCCGTGTTCCCTCCAGAGGCTCCAAGAGAGATTTCATTGCTTGTCTCTTCCAGTTTCTGGTGGCTCCAGGCATTCCTTGGCTTGTGGCTACATTGCTTCAGTGCCTGCCTCTGTGATCATGGCCACCTCCTTTTCTCTGTGTGGCTATCCCTGTCTCTTTTTTTAAGTGTACAGTTGAGTGGCATAAAGTACATTACAGATCTCCAGAACTTTTCCATGGTACAGATCTGAAACTCTTTTCCCCCATCCCCAGCCCCTTGTAACCACCATTCTACTTTCTCTTTCTCTGAGTTTCACTACTCTAGATACATGATATAAATGGAGTCATATAGTATGTGTCCTTTGTGACAGGCTTATTTCATTTAGCATAATGTCCTCAAGGTTCAACTATGTTGTAGGATATTGCAGAATTTCCTTTTGAAGGCTGAGTAATATTCCATAGTACATGTCTATCACATTTTGTTTATCCTTTGTCTATTTATCCACCGATGGACATTTAGGTTGCTTCTACCTCTTGGCTATTGTGAATAATGCTATGAGTAAGAATGTGCAGATATCTTTTCAAGAGCCTACTTTCAGTTCTTTTAGAGATCTACCCAGAAGTGGGATTGCTGGAACATACAGCAATTCTATTTTTAATTTTTTGAGGAAACTCCATGCTATTTTCCACAGTGATTGCACCATTTTACATTTCCACCAACAGTTCATAAAGATTCCACTTGTTATTTTCTTGTCTTTTTTAAATAGTAGCCATCCTAATGGGTATGAGGTATCCTTTGTGTCTCTTATCAATGACACCTGTCATTGGATTTAGGGCCCACATAGATAATTCAGGATTATCTCATCAAGATCCTTAAGTACATTTGCAAAGACCCTTTCTCCAAGTAAGGTCACATTCAAAGCTTCCAGAGACTCAAACATTGAGGTGTCTTTTGGGGGGACCACAATTCAACCCAGTATACTTTCTTTTTCTCCTTGATACTTATCTCCATCTGACTTGCTATATCTTTACTTATAATTTATCTTCTTTACTGACAGACAATGATCAAAATAAATCCACAAGGACAAGTATTTTTGTCTGTTTTTTTTCACCATTGTGCTCCCAGGGTTTAGAACAGTGTCTGGCATAAATGGCAGCTCAGCAGATACTGGTTGAATGAATGAATGAATGAAAGGGCAGCTGGCCTAGGTAAATGTTGGCAGAAATCCCCCCACACACGCTCCAGCTGCCTTAACCTTTGAGGGGAAAAGATTTTGGGCCTGGGGACTAGATTACCTGAGGCAAGCTTCTTCCTGTGGGGAATGCAGTCTCTTTAAGATTACCCATCGATTAGGCCAACTTTCAGGGTTCTCCTTAAGAAAAACATAAATTAGAAAAAAAATTAGAAATACAAATACCATTTCTTGCTAAAGTGAATTAGGATTCCTTGGATAAATGACTGATTTTGTGTCTAGGCCAGGAAATGTACAAAATGGAAAGCAAGGAAGCCCCTAAAGACCACTGGGATTGTGTGAAAAAGGCATAGAGAGACAATGTTTTCTGAGACAACTTGAGCAAAAAAGGGTAATGATTTTAATGGATTAAAACACATTTTGTTTTCACTGTAAATCCTTCCTGGCTCTGGATTTAACTCCGTTTGAAGGGTAGTCATTCCAAGGACAGAGAAACATGTTAAATGACACATGAAATAACAATCAACCAAATCCAAAATGTGGAAAAATCTTTTGGTCAAATGCTCCAGTTGCTTCAATAAGTAAATGGCGCCATCATCATCATCATCATCATCATCATCATCATCATCATCATTAACAACAAAAGGGGAAGGGGACAGGCTCGCAGACACAGTAAACAGTCTTATGGTTACTGGGGGAAAGGGGGTGGGAAGGGATAAATTTGGGAGCTTGAGATTTGCAAGTGTTAGCCACTATATATAAAAATAGATTTAAAAAAATTTCTGTATAGCACAGGGAACTATATTCAATATCTTGTAATAACCTTTAATGAAAAAGAATATGAAGATGAATATATGTATGTATATGCATGACTGGGACATTGTGCTGTACACCAGAAATTGACACATTGTAACTGACTGCACTTCAATTTAAAACCAAAAAAATGGGAGAAGGGAAGGGGAATGGTTAATACAGTAGTCCCCCTTATCGATGGATTTGTTTTCCCACAGTTAACTGCAGTCTGAAAAGATTAAATGGAAAATTCCAGATATAAACAATTCATAAGTTTTAAATTGCTCACCATCCTGAGTAGCGTGACGAAATCTTGCTCTGTTCTGCCCGGGATCTGAATCATCTTTGTCCAACGGATCCCACCCGTTAACTCATTTATTAGCCCTCTTGGTTATCAGATTGGCTGTCCCTGTATCACAGTGCTTTGTGTTCAAGTAACCTTTATTTTACTTAATAATGGCCCCCAAAGTGCAAGAGTAGAGATGCTGGCAATTCAGATACGCCAAGGAGAAGCCACGAAGTGCTTCCACCAAGTGAAAAGGTGAAAGGTCTTAATGAGAATAGACAAAAATCATATGCTGGCGTTACTAAGATCTACTTTAAGGACGAATCTTCTATCTGTGAAATTGCAAAGAAGGAAAAAGAAATTCATGCTGGCTTTGCTGTTGAACCTCGAAACTGCAAAAGTTATGGCCACACTGTGCTTAGTTAAAATGGAAAAGGCATTAAATTTGTACAAGATATTTTGAGGGACCATATTCACATAACTCTTATTACAGTGTATTGTTATAATTGTTCTATTTTATTATTGTTAATTTCTCACTGTGCTTAATTTAAAAGTTAAACTTTATTATATGTATTTATAGAAAAAACATAGTATATATAGAGTTTGGTACTATCTGAGGTTTCAGGCATTCATTGAGGGTCTTGGAATGTATCCTTTTGGAAAAGGGGGGGCTACTATATATCAAAAGAGGTTTAGGAGATATATCAATGAATGCAGTAAGGAGACCTTGTTTTGACCTGATTAAACAATTTAAGGTTTTCTTGAGATGGGGTAGAGGGGAATTGGACATATACTAAGTATTAATATTATTAAATAATTATTTTTCATTGTGTTGGGTGTGATAATGGTATTTTTAACAGTCCTTATCTGTTAGAGACACACTGAATTATTTGTAGGTGAAATGATACGATGTCCAGGGTGTCTTTAACATACTTAAGGAAAAAAAAATGCAGTGATAAATGAAATTAAGGAAGGCAAAATACGGATTGTTGTTGAAGCTCGTTGATAAGTATATGAACATTCATTTTAACTATTCTACTTTTATGTGTGTTTGGAAATTCTCTTCATAAAAAATTAAAAACAAAGTTTCAACTTTTCTTTGTTCTAGTTCCATGCCCAGTAAGAAACTTTCTGGTTCGGTTTTCACCTTCTTCTGTTCCAAAAAAAGGGGTGCTGTAACTAGGAGATGTAAACATGTCTCATGGCCCTCCTCATACTTTTCCTCAATTTTCTTAGCCCAGATCTTCAGTCTCATGTTGCACCAGTTTGCTGAAAAAAAAGGAGGGAGGAGAAGGATGCAGAGAACCCTGGAGAAGGGAGGAACTGGCAACCGCAAAACAGTCACTTGAACAGAAGACTGTCCCCCACTGGATTTGGATGAGATCACAAGCTATCCACATGACTGACTGTTGAACGTGGCCAGATTGTGCCTTGTTGTTCATTCCATTCGAGAAAAGTTGAGCCAAACGCTAATATTTAAATATCAAATTTCACACCACAACCCAAGTTTCCAGCTTTTTAAAAAGAGATCTTAAAAGAGGCTTTTGGTCCTCACCATAGAATTGCTGCTGCTCAGGGAGGCTCGCCTTGCAAAACTCTTTTTAATGCCACAAGGATGCCTTGGTTCAACCCCACTTCTTACAGGATAAATAGCAGCATACACAGCACGAAGCGTGCTAAGATAACGGTGCCCTGGAGCCCAACCTCCAATACCTCTCCCCTGTTAGCACACCCTGGGTGACTTCATCTGTGGATACTTCAGTGAGTACCCCTAGCAGGGGAGTGTCAGAAAACAACCAGTCCAACACTGTCATCAACGGGTTTCTTTGTGTTTAGCAGAGCAAGAACTGGGCCCCCGCTTGCACTTGTCACAGGCCCGCTGGAGCCACGAGGGCAGGTTTCGTTCCGTTCCACATCTCTCTGCACTCTTGAGACCCAAATCACTGCAGGTTGAGAAGACCTGCAGCCCAAGAGACTGCACGTCCCAAATCTTCACCCAGGGAACAGTGAGCAGTCTGACAAGTTGAGAGAGAACAATGAGGGCTGGAGTATACACACCGAGGCGCCGCCAAGTCTCGCCCTTTTGGAGCGGAGTCTAGTGACAACTGGAGGGTGTCTCGCATGGTCCCTCCTCCCACACCTCTCACTTTGAAAGCAGCTCTTTTGCCCCTTTCCTGTTTGCCCATTTCTGTTCCCCTCTAACCTCGAAAGAACCTAATTATAGGAATGCTATCACTAAGCAATTTAACATAACTCCTGACTTAACGCTCTCCTGAATGCACACCATGTCTAGCCTAACCTGTTCTTTTCCTTGATTAAAAAAAGAATGAAAAATTAAGTAGTTACAGAATGACTAGCTTTCTACCCTCAGCAGCCTCTTAGCAATCCTGTAGGCAGATCATGTGGTCAAGATAACATCTGAAAAGAGTCAGCCAGTCTGTACGCAATGGAGAGTGATGCAGAACCCAGCCTCCTGCCTTGATGACTCAGAGATTGTTGCCCACTACCCCCTTCTCTTTAAAACCTGTGGCTGAGGAGAATCTTGGGAGTTGGTCTCTGGACCTGAGCCCACCTTCTCTGCAGACTACTGGCTTTTCTGATTAAAGCGCTTTTCTGTTCTATTGACACTGGCCTCTCAATCACTGGGTTTTGAGCAACGCAGTGGAACCTGAGTTCATTAACAACATGGAGCCCAACCTCCAATACCCTCTCCCCTGTTAGCACACCCTGGGTGACTTCATCTGTGGATACTTCAGTGAGTACCCCTAGCAGGGGAGTGTCAGAAAACAACCAGTCCAACACCGTCATCAAATGCAACAAACCTGACAAACTCAAAATCAGAAACACCTAAGCCTGTTGGAACCCTCACTGGCTCATAATGTTTCCCAACGACCGGCCTGGCCCCTCATCCAGGAAAAGCCTCCTCCCTGGGGTCACAGCCCCTGCAGCCAGGGTGGGCAGCTCCTCCAGGCGGCGCCAGAGCGCCTGACGCTCCTGCACCCCAAAAGGGCTCTCACACCAGCACCTGCCCGGCCAGGTGCTCGGGAAGGTTCTGTCGGTGCCTGGACTTCGCCTTTCCCACCTTGCGTGTACCAATTCTTCCAGATCCGGAAGTCCAGGCACCACAGGCCCGCGAAACCCGCCGCTGCGGGACGCACGCCCTGTTGCGGGCTAGCACAACTCTCCGCGAAGGGCAAGAAGCAGGGGCCGAACGTATCTGCGCACGCGTACCCTCCGCTCGGCGGTGCTGCGTTTACTAGGAGCAGGGCGCAAGCATGCGCATGCGCGTTTGGCAGAAAGCGCTCGCGGGCTAGAGTTGGAGCCGACCGCACACTCCAAGAGCTGGAGGGCACGCCAGGGCATCCCACGCGTGCGCACTCTCAGCTCAGTCGTGTAGCCACTCCTGATGGGGCGCGGGGCGGGACGGGGCGGAGCAGCCGCTAGGAGGTGTCATCGCGCACGCGCATTCTGCTCCAAGCCCTGTTGCGTCGCCTGGGAGCGGGGCGCAGGTGCGCGCATGCGCATTGGGGCGGAGGGCGAGCGTTGGCAGGTGTTTCGGGTGGGCGTTGGCGGGTGATGGGGCTGCCGGCGCTGCTGCTGCTCGCTCTGTGCGCGGCGGGCGCCCGGGGGCTCTACTTTCACATCGGCGAGACCGAAAAGCGTTGCTTCATCGAGGAAATCCCGGACGAGACAATGGTCATCGGTCAGGCCGGGCGAGGGTGGACAGGGCCCAGCGTATCCCCCAGACGCGGCCGGGCTCCCCGCTCTTGAGGACGCCGGGCCCTGGCGGGGCGAGCAGTGACCCCTGCCCGACGCCTCAGGAGTCGCGGCGCCCCGCTGAGGGTGGGAGCCGGGCGGACTAGGCGGGTTATGACAGCTCTTGTCTGCTCTGCAGGGAACTACCGCACCCAGATGTGGGATAAGCAGAAGGAGGTCTTCCTGCCCTCGACCCCCGGCCTGGGCATGCACGTGGAGGTGAAGGACCCTGAAGGCAAGGTAGGACCACCGCTGGCTGCGCACAGGCCGTGGTATGGACTCGTTGCAGACTACATTAGGCCATCCTTAACTAGAGCTCTCTGGAGTGTACAGAGTACTTGGAGAGGTCAGAGTAGAGGAGGGGTCTTTCACTGACTGGCGTGTTACAGGTGGTGCTGTCCCGGCAGTACGGCTCAGAGGGCCGCTTCACCTTCACTTCTCACACTCCTGGTGACCATCAGATCTGCCTGCACTCCAACTCTACCAAGATGGCTCTCTTTGCTGGCGGCAGACTGGTAAGAGAATTTTCTCTGGCTGTAGCTCAGAATGTCTCACTTGGTCCCAAAGTTTTGGTTTATTACCATCATTATTTGTAACACTTTGTGGCACAATCACAATTAAGGATTAGATATTGCCCTTCTGTCCCACAGCCAGGGACAAAAGCCTGGAACAGACCATCGGAGGTCCCACCACTCAGACACCATAACCTCAGAGTGTTTCTAACCCTACCACTTTGGGGTCCAACCCTGTTTCCTTCTAGCGTGTGCACCTAAACATCCAGGTTGGGGGGCATGCCAACAACTACCCTGAGATCGCTGCCAAGGATAAACTGACAGAGCTGCAGCTCCGAGCCCGCCAGTTGCTTGATCAGGTGGAACAGATCCAGAAGGAGCAGGATTACCAGAGGGTAAGGGCACGGTGCTGTACTTGAACGTGGCAGTTGACTTTTGTACCCACTACACCTACTGGAAATTTCTACTTGGGGCCTTCCTTACCTGGAAGATCAGCTGTTCAAAGAATGGAGTGGAGGGTATCAGTCTAGACAGCCGTTTTTCAACTCCTTAGAATGAAGTGTGGAGAGGACAGTTCACTCTAGCGATAACCACTACCTACCTCTTACCTTGGGATCTTGTTCGAAATGGTAAGAGCATGATTTCTGTCCTAGCAGAGATGCTTGTGGAGGGGCAGCCTGTCACTTGGGGCACTTCCAGTGGAATCAGAGGCAGAATTTCAATAGGCGTTTGGTCCCACAGTTGAGTAGCTGCATGGAAGGAGGGGCCCCACGACGGCTGGGACTGTCCCTTTTGCACATTTAATCCTGGGTCCATTGTCTCATGCAGTATCGTGAAGAGCGTTTCCGTCTGACCAGTGAGAGCACCAACCAGAGAGTCCTGTGGTGGTCCATCGCTCAGACCATCATCCTCATCCTCACTGGCATCTGGCAGATGCGTCACCTCAAGAGCTTCTTTGAGGCCAAGAAGTTGGTGTAGTGTCCTCTCCATTTGACCCTTCCCTGTCACCTCAGTTATTTGGTACTTTCCCCACCCAATACCTTATCTACCTGGATTTTGAGGGGAAAAAATAACAAAAGAATATAAGACACACTGGTTCCACGGTAACAAAGCATTCACATCACCCACTTGTTAATACTGGTTCCCAAGGACACAGGACATTGGTCCAAGCTTTCAGAGATCTCTTGGGGTTTCTGTGGAGTCGAAACTGACCTAGGACTAAGTCTTGCTTCTTTCGCCTCCAGTGATTCCCCTCCATCCTCTTGGAAAATGAGCAAATGAAAAATATCTCCTACTCCTTGAACCTCTTCATCTGCTTATGAAGTAGGCAACCAAAATGCCCCAGTGAGAAGGCCCCGCCTCACTGCTCCCATCAGTCCTGGGTTCACTCAGTGGCTTTGTGAATGTAAATAAGGGCCAGAGGCCCCAGAGGGTTGAAATGTTTTTCTATATATTAGAACTATTTTTTGATAAAATTATCTATTTTCCTTCCTAGTCCAAGTGTTCCTGCCTTTGTGTGACTAGCTGAAAACACCAGTGCAGTCCCTTCTGCATTCTGTTCATCCGTGCAGTTCTGGTAACTGTCATGGCAGCTCTCAGGGCCAGAAAGCAGACGTGACAGCTGCTCTCAAGGCCTAATCAGAGCGCCAGGCAGAGCCTTCTCTGGGACACCCGTGATTTCCATCACACAGGGCCTCAAGAGGAAGAGGTGGTGAGGGAGCTAGCACAAGGCAGGGCACTCTTACCCTCCCCCTTCCCTTAACTTTTATTTAAGCTGTGGTAAATGTTTTCTTCACGGGAACCAGATTTGGTTCTTTATACGGGGTTTTTCCAGTGAAATAAAATGTGTTGTAGTAGCTGTGTGTGAAATGAAATAAGAGGCTGTGGGCAGAGCGGAGGCATAAAGGGAAATGGAGGAAAGGCTTTTGGCCTGGACTGCCTCCTTGGCTGAACCAGAGTGGCTTCAGCATGTGGGCTTGTGGTGCTAAGGCCTGGCCTGACAGGAGTCCCCGGGGGTGTGGGAATGGACGGGGTGGCTGCTCAGCTATTCAGAGGTCAACCAAGTAGACCTGTCAGCAAGGAATCCTATGGGGAGATTAAGCTCTCTGGAATCATAAATTTAACCACATCTTAGTACATTTCCCTCATGCCCTTTTGCTGTATAAAACTTAATCCCATTAGTTGGCCATTCCTGACATTTCATGGCTTTATTTATCCAAAAATACATTCTTTATCTGAGGTAGAAAATGAAATTCTTCCCTTCTCATTTTCTCTTTATGTTCTGTATTATTTCACATTATGTACCTATTTTAACTTACAAAAATACATGCAATTTAGTTTTATAGGCTTTGTCATTTAATATTTTTGTAAATTTAAAAAATTCTACATAACCCTCATTTCTCATTCTGGATGGCCATGTTAACAGTCTAGTGAAGCGAAATGCTATAATTGACTTATTCAAAATTCTTTGGACATTTAAAGTTGTTCCTCAATTTTCTTCATGTTAGGATTAACACAGGGAAAAACAGATGGCCTTGGAACTAGTTAGCTGTGTGGCCCTCTCACCTGAGGCTCTTGTGGAGTATAAGACATGTCAGGAAGGAAACACATTTCTGTCCTGTGGCTGTTACTAGAAATCTGGCCAGCAAATCAGACCCTGGAGCCTGGGCTGTGGGAAGACAGGAAACTACAGATAAGTGCTGGTGTGGGCTTTAACAGTCTGTCCAGCCTGAATGCATCTCATTTATGCTGACAGGTCAGTGGGTATGTCCCGGATGTCTCCTCTTGGGAGTTTCTGATATGCAGGGGAAATGGAGTGAGGACAAATGTGAAAGTATATCATACCTTTACACTGATGGGGCAGTTAGAATCTTGACTTAAGGACAGACTGACAGGTGGTGGCTGTGGGGAGAAGGATTTCCATACTGGTGTGTGGTATTAACAGATACATTATGGCCTAGGAAAGTTTTTAAAAAACAGTTTGGCTGCATCCAAGGAATTCTGGTGATTTCCCCACCCCCACCCTCATCATAATACCTGGATTCCACTCTGAAATTCTTGCTTTCTTAGATTATATAATTTCCTTAACAACCTTCTACCTCCCTATACAAAAAAAGATGGGGAATAGGAGCCATTCTACTCATCCCATCCTCCCTGGCCCAATCCCCAGTTCTCACTATGACTGTCAGTCCCCAGCTCCATCTTTTCATCCCAGCCCCACTTTACCTGTGGTGCTTGAACTGCTGTCTCTTCTCACCCCAACAACCGCGACAGCCTACCCTCTGGCACTCACATGTGGGGCCAGGTCAGAGTGGATGCACAGGGTCATCTGGAAAACTCATCAACACAGATTCCTGGATAACACTCAGGTCTAGTCAGCTAAGTAGATTTATGTGTAGGGTGGTGTGGTAGGCTGAATAATAGCCTCCTAAAGATGTCCAATTAGATGTACTAATTCCTGAAACCTGTGAATATGTTACCCAACATAGCAAAGAGGAATTAAGGTTGTTATCTGACTTTAGGGAGATTATCCTGGGTGGGCCCAATGCCATAAAAGAATTCTTTAAGAACAGAAGAGGGAGGCAAAAGAAGGTTGCAATGATGTGATGTGAGGACTCAACCCTCCGTTAATGGCTTTGAAGATGGAAGGAGGAAGGGGGGCCACAAGCCAAGCAGGGAAAGGCAAAAAACAAATTATTCCCCTAGAGCCCCCAGAAGGGAATGCAGCCCTGCCAATACTGCAATTTCAGCCCACTGAGGCCTCATCAGACTTCTGCCCTACAGAATGGTAGGATAATAAATTTATGTTAAGCCACTACATTTATGGTAATGTTATAGCAGCGCTGGAAACATACAGGTGGAGACCAAGATTCCTTATTTTTAACCAAGCTGTGCAGGCAACATGGGCAGCCAGGTTTGGGAACCCCAGACCAACCTACCATCTTCTTTCTCTTGCCACTCAGCCTTCCAAACTGCATCCTTATACAGTTCACTTGCTGTAGCCTGTCCTTTGTACTGCCTATGGTCCTGAACCTTAGCCCAGCCTCTCTGTCGCCTGTACCATATGCCGGTACACCTAGCGTCACTTGCTTTCTACTCTTAAAGCTGTACCCCCGTTCAGACTCTCAGGTTCCCACCACAGCCACAGGAAACAGCCCTGGGACTCATATGCTGCTGCACTTTTCCTGAGCATCCTAGGTGGTAGAGAATTTAGTGCTTACATAGAAACCTGACAGAGATCCCCTAGATGCGTAAGGGTAGGAAAGGGCGCAGGACTCACCAGTGTATCCCATACGTGGTAAGCTACCACGCGCGGCAGAAATGTTGGTAGTATTCAGAAGAGCATTCTAAACATTGATTTATTTGCCAATGCAAGTATAACTAATGCAGGCATAATTACTAGGGCTAGGCTGTTAAAATGAAGCGCTAGGCGAAGATAAAGCCATAAGCATGTGGCTGGGTGGACAAACTTGCAGGTTGTCTGGCCCGTGTGGGTGGGCAGAGGCGGGCACGAAGGGGACCTCACCCACTTCCACGCAGCCCCGCCCCTGCCGCAGATAACCCTAACCCACCACGACGTTTGGAAGTAGAAGGCGGTGGAGGACACGAGGGCTCCAAGGCAGTCCCGGTCCCTGGCCCGTCGCCTCTCGCCCGAGAGCCCGGGCCGCGAAGACAGCCGCCGCCGCCGAGCCCAGCAGGAACACCGGAACCCTAGCCTCCGCCTCTTCCGGGAGGTGAGGCCTCCTTTGAAGCTGATTGGTTGCCGCTTTGACCCGCCCACGCGTCGTCGTGCTTTCTTCCTGTCGCGCGTGCGCGCTATCACTACAGAGCAGCAGCATGGAGGATCCAGAAACGCTAGGCTTCGAACACATGGGTCTAGACCCCCGACTCCTGCAGGTACCGGGGAGGACTGAGAAGCCGGCGGACGTGGAGGCGGGTAGCGGCAGGGCAGCGCGCCGCCTGAGCCATCCCTTGTCTCTCCTAGGCCGTCACCGACCTGGGCTGGTCGCGACCCACGCTGATCCAGGAAAAGGCCATCCCGCTGGCCCTGGAGGGGAAGGACCTTCTGGCTCGAGCCCGCACAGGTTCGGGGAAGACCGCCGCTTATGCCATTCCGATGCTGCAGCTGCTGCTCCACAGGAAGGCGGTAAGTCCGGGGAGAGGCCTCAAGGGCAGAGAAGGGATATGAAGGCGTCTGAGTTCCGTTGTGCCCTCTTGGAAAGCTGTGCCCTCCACTCCCATCCACCCAAGTCTTTCCCAAGAACCAGATTTTCTTTTGACCTCTTACCCGTGAAGGCTGGTCTGAGAGAACCTGTTGCTGTTGTGGTAACCACTGTGGGCTGGAATTCAGATTACCTGGATTCTAGTCCAGGCCCTGCTCCCGCCATTCTTTGTGTAATCTTGAGTAAATCGCCTTCCCTTCTTCCTACTATAAAAAGTTGGTCCATCCTACTCTCCTACTCATAGAGTTATTGTGAAGTCCAGTGTTCTAACTAGTACATTTTAAGCAACTTTATAACCATAAAATAAGTTATCCTTTTTGAAGTCAGTGCCAGGGGAAAGAATCCTCTGATCTACTTTCTGAGGTGGGTAGAGGTGAGGGGTTGATCAGAACACAACTAGACTGTTGTGTTGAAGTCACAACAGTTGGGTCAAATTGCCTGGAAGAGGTAGAGAAAAGTGTCACAAGGACACGACCTGACTGACTGAAGTCTTTAACTTGTGTTCTTGCAGACAGGCCCCGCGGTAGAGCAGGCTGTAAGGGGCCTCGTCCTTGTGCCCACCAAGGAGCTGGCACGGCAGGCCCAGTCCATGATTCAGCAGCTGGCTGCCTACTGCGCTCGAGACATCCGGGTGGCCAATGTCTCAGCCGCTGAAGACTCAGCCTCTCAGAGGTGCGTGAAAGCAACAGATTGTAGGGCAATGAATCTGCACTGAGATGAGGGATTGGATTTTTGTGCAGCAAGAGAGAGGGCTAATCTGGGCTGTGGTCCCAGCTGCTACCCTCTCCCCAGTATTGAGGTGTTGCCCACCTACAGGGCTGTGCTGATGGAGAAGCCCGATGTAGTGGTGGGGACCCCATCTCGCATATTAAACCACTTGCAGCAAGACAACTTGAAACTGCGAGATTCTTTGGAGCTGCTGGTGGTGGACGAGGCTGATCTTCTTTTCTCCTTTGGCTTTGAGGAGGAACTCAAGAGTCTTCTCTGGTAAGGAAAGGTGTGTGGGGCTTGTGAATAGACACTGGGGCCTGGAGCGAGGTGGCCAGTTCAGCCACCACAGTTAGAGGCTTTTGGAACTGAAGTTTGATGGGGCTCTGTTTCATTTTAGTCACTTGCCCCGGATTTACCAGGCTTTTCTGATGTCGGCTACTTTTAACGAGGATGTACAAGCACTCAAGGAGCTGGTACTGCACAACCCGGTAAGAACCCCGTGGAAACATCTGGAGACATTGATGTCATACTTAAAGTACTTGATCCTCCATTTATTTATTTATTTATTTATTTATTTATTTATTTATTTATTTATATTGAGTTATAGTCAGTTTACAATGTGTCAATTTCTGGTGTATAGCAGTTTTTCAGTCATACGTGAATATATGTATATTCGTTTTCATATTCTTTTTCAGC